AGATATAAAATCGATATTTTTTTGAAAATAGCCTACTATGATCGAAACCAAAAATGCTTTAAATTGCATTTTAAAGCATATCTAGGTATTATAAATGATAAAGAATGCTAATATAGATATAAAATCGATATTTTTTTTGAAAATAGCCTACTATGAAAAATGCTTTAAATTGCATTTTAAAACATATCTAGGTATTTTAAATGATAAAGAATGCTAATATAGATATAAAATCGATATTTTTCTTGAAAATAGCCTACTATGATCAAAACCAAAAATGCTTTAAATTGCATTTTAAAACATATCTAGGTATTATAAATGATAAAGAATGCTAATATAGATATAAAATCGATTTTTTTTTTGAAAATAGCCTACTATGATCGTAACCAAAAATGCTTTAAATTGCATTTTAAATCATATCTAGGTATTATAAATGATAAAGAATGCTAATATAGATATAAAATCGATATTTTTTTGAAAATAGCCTACTATGAAAAATGCTTAAAATTGCATTTTAAAACATATCTAGGTATTATTAATGATAAAGAATGCTAATATTGATATAAAATTGATATTTTTTTGAAAATAGCCTACTATGATCAAAACCAAAAATGCTTAAAATTGCATTTTAAAACATATCTAGGTATAATTAATGATAAAGAATGCTAATATAGATATAAAATCGATATTTTTTTGAAAATAGCCTACTATGAAAAATGCTTTAAATTGCATTTTAAAACATATCTAGGTATTATTAATGATAAAGAATGCCAATATTGATATAAAATTGATATTTTTTTGAAAATAGCCTACTGTGGTCAAAACCAAAAATGCTTAAAATTGCATTTTAAAACATGTCTAGGTATTATAAATGATAAAGAATGCTAATATAGATATAAAATCGATAGTTTTTTGAAAAATCCTGCTATGATAAAAACCAAAAATGCTTAAAATTGCATTTTAAAACATATCTAGGTATTATAAATGATATAGAATGCTAATATAGATATAAAATCGATAGTTTTTTGAAAAATCCTGCTATGATAAAAACCAAAAATGCTTAAAATTGCATTTTAAAACATATCTGGTATTATAAATGATATAGAATGCTATAATAGATATAAAATCGATATTTTTTTTTGAAAATTGCCTACTGTGATCGAAACCAAAAATGCTTTAAATTGCATTTTAAAAAATATCTAGGTTTTATAAATGATAAAGAATGATAATATAGATATAAAATCGATATTTTTTTTTGAAAATAGCCTACTATGATCAAATCCAAAAATGCTTAAAATTGCATTTTAAAACATATTTAGGTATTATAAATGATATAGAATGCTAATATAGATATAAAATCGATAATTTTTTGAAAATAGCCTCCTATGAAAAATGCTTTAAATTGCATTTTAAAACATATCTGATATTTTAAATGATAAAGAATGCTAATATAGATATAAAATCGATATTTTTCTTGAAAATAGCCTACTATGATCGAAACCAAAAATGCTTAAAATTGCATTTTAAAACATATCTAGGTATTATAAATGATAAAGAATGCTAATATAGATATAAAATCGATATTTGTTTTTGAAAATAGCCTACTGTGATCGAAACCAAAAATGCTTTAAATTGCATTTTAAAAAATATCTTGGTATTATAAATGATATAGAATGCTAATATAGATATAAAATCGATAGTTTTTTGAAAATAGCCTACTATGATCAAAACCAAAAATGCTTTAAATTGCATTTTAAAACATATCTAGGTATTATAAATGATAAAGAATGCTAATATAGATATAAAATCGATATTTGTTTTTGAAAAAAGCCTACTATGATCGAAACCAAAAATGCTTAAAATTGCATTTTAAAACATATCTAGGTATTATAAATGATAAAGAATGCTAATATAGATATAAAATCGATATTTTTTTGAAAATAGCCTACTATGATCGAAACCAAAAATGATTTGAATTGCATTTTAAAGCATATCTAGGTATTATAAATGATAAAGAATGCTAATATAGATATAAAATCGATATTTTTTTGAAAATAGCCTACTATGATCGAAACCAAAAATGCTTAAAATTGCATTTTAAAACATATCTAGGTATAATTAATGATAAAGAATGCTAATATAGATATAAAATCGATATTTGTTTTTGAAAATAGCCTACTGTGATTGAATCCAAAAATGCTTAAAATTGCATTTTAAAACATTTTTAGGTATTATAAATGATATAGAATGCTAATATAGATATAAAATCGATAGTTTTTTGAAAATAGCCTACTGTGATCGAAACCAAAAATGCTTTAAATTGCATTTTAAAAAATATCTAGGTATTATAAATGATATAGAATGCTAATATAGATATAAAATCGATAGTTTTTTGAAAATAGCCTACTATGATCAAAACCAAAAATGCTTTAAATTGCATTTTAAAACATATCTAGGTATTATAAATGATAAAGAATGCTAATATAGATATAAAATCGATATTTGTTTTTGAAAATAGCCTACTGTGATTGAATCCAAAAATGCTTAAAATTGCATTTTAAAACATTTTTAGGTATTATAAATGATATAGAATGCTAATATAGATATAAAATCGATAGTTTTTTGAAAATAGCCTACTGTGATCGAAACCAAAAATGCTTTAAATTGCATTTTAAAAAATATCTAGGTATTATAAATGATATAGAATGCTAATATAGATATAAAATCGATAGTTTTTTGAAAATAGCCTACTATGATCGAAACCAAAAATGCTTAAAATTGCATTTTAAAACATATCTAGGTATTATAAATGATAAAGAATGCTAATATAGATATAAAATCGATATTTTTTTTGAAAATAACCTACTTTGATCAAAACCAAAAATGCTTTAAATTGCATTTTAAAGCATATCTAGGTATTATAAATGATATAGAATGCTAATTTAGATATAAAATCGATATTTTTTTGAAAATAGCCTACTATGATCGAAACCAAAAATGATTTGAATTGCATTTTATAGCATATCTAGGTATTATAAATGATAAAGAATGCTAATATAGATATAAAATCGATATTTTTATTGAAAATAATCTACTTTGATCAAAACCAAAAATGCTTTAAATTGCATTTTAAAGCATATCTAGGTATTATAAATGATAAAGAATGCTAATATAGATATAAAATCGATATTTTTTTGAAAATAGCCTACTATGATCGAAACCAAAAATGATTTGAATTGCATTTTAAAGCATATCTAGGTATTATAAATGATAAAGAATGCTAATATAGATATAAAATCGATAGTTTTTTGAAAATAGCCTACTATGATCAAAACCAAAAATGCTTTAAATTGCATTTTAAAACATATCTAGGTATTATAAATGATAAAGAATGCTAATATAGATATAAAATCGATATTTGTTTTTGAAAATAGCCTACTGTGATTGAATCCAAAAATGCTTAAAATTGCATTTTAAAACATTTTTAGGTATTATAAATGATATAGAATGCTAATATAGATATAAAATCGATAGTTTTTTGAAAATAGCCTACTGTGATCGAAACCAAAAATGCTTTAAATTGCATTTTAAAAAATGTCTAGGTATTATAAATGATATAGAATGCTAATATAGATATAAAATCGATAGTTTTTTGAAAATAGCCTACTATGATCGAAACCAAAAATGCTTAAAATTGCATTTTAAAACATATCTAGGTATTATAAATGATAAAGAATGCTAATATAGATATAAAATCGATATTTTTTTTGAAAATAACCTACTTTGATCAAAACCAAAAATGCTTTAAATTGCATTTTAAAGCATATCTAGGTATTATAAATGATATAGAATGCTAATATAGATATAAAATCGATATTTTTTCGAAAATAGCCTACTATGATCGAAACCAAAAATGATTTGAATTGCATTTTAAAGCATATCTAGGTATTATAAATGATAAAGAATGCTAATAAAGATATAAAATCGATATTTTTATTGAAAATAACCTACTTTGATCAAAACCAAAAATGCTTTAAATTGCATTTTAAAACATTTTTAGTTATAATTAATGATAAAGAATGCTAATATAGATATAAAATCGATATTTTTTTGAAAATAGCCTACTATGATCAAAACCAAAAATGCTTAAAATTGCATTTTAAAACATGTCTAGGTATTATAAATGATAAAGAATGCTAATATAGATATAAAATCGATATTTTTTTGAAAATAGCCTACTATGATCGAAACCAAAAATGCTTAAAATTGCATTTTAAAACATATCTAGGTATAATTAATGATAAAGAATGCTAATATAGATATAAAATCGATATTTGTTTTTGAAAATAGCCTACTGTGATTGAATCCAAAAATGCTTAAAATTGCATTTTAAAACATTTTTAGGTATTATAAATGATAGAATGCTAATATAGATATAAAATCGATAGTTTTTTGAAAATAGCCTACTGTGATCGAAACCAAAAATGCTTTAAATTGCATTTTAAAAAATATCTAGGTATTATAAATGATATAGAATGCTAATATAGATATAAAATCGATAGTTTTTTGAAAATAGCCTACTATGATCGAAACCAAAAATGCTTAAAATTGCATTTTAAAACATATCTAGGTATTATAAATGATAAAGAATGCTAATATAGATATAAAATCGATATTTTTTTTGAAAATAACCTACTTTGATCAAAACCAAAAATGCTTTAAATTGCATTTTAAAGCATATCTAGGTATTATAAATGATAAACTAGTAATGAAGCCGATCACGCTTCATGGGAATATTCACACAATCCTATAGAACTCTCTATGTATTGTTCAGAAAATCTTGAAAAATCTTCTCTCAATAAAATGTAAGACTTAATATCAAAATTTGCTGCATTATCAACAAAGGATACCACGCATTAAGAACACGTTTTATAACGAAAATCATGATTCTAGTGTCGCAAAGAAATAAAAATTTTTAAAATTATAAATATGAAAAATACGACCTATGTAGAAAGCCATTAACTTTCACACTTAGCAAACGATAGATTATGAAATTGAAAAATCACTCAAATTAATGCTCCGCAGTCAGTCTCTTATGTAGATCAGACTTCAACATAGGTTACAGTCTTGGAAAGTTTTGCAACTTGTGTGCTCCGTTTCGTTCAACTGTTTATAGATTACAGAAGGTTTATAGGTTACAGGTGTAAAATAATGATCTCAGTAGTCTGAGAAAATAAAAAAATCAGTTGAAAAACACGAACAAAAACATTAAGACGTGTTTCATTAAAAATTAAAAATAAAACAACAGGTGTGTTGAACTCAGATCTTATAGATGACAGTAGGTTTATAAATTACAGGTGTGTTGAACTTCAATATCAATATTTATTTTTAAATACTTTTAAGGTCATAGATGCAACCAAATTATCTAGATCGATCTGGATTTTTAAAAACGGGTGAGCTTCGCTCAACCTAGTTTAGATTTATAGGTTACAGGTGTGTTGAACTCCACTCCGTTTCACTCCGTTTCGTTCAACTGTTTATAGATTACAAAAGGTTTATAGGTTACAGGTGTGTTGAACTCCACTTCGTTTCGTTCAACTGTTTAAAGATAACAGTAGGTTTATAGGTTACAGGTGTGTTGAACTCCACTCCGTTTCACTCCGTTTCGTTCAACTGTTTATAGATTACAGTAGGTTTATAGGTTACAGGTGTGTTGAACTCCACTCCGTTTCACTCCGTTTCGTTCAACTGTTTATAGATTACAGTAGGTTTATAGGTTAAAGGTGTGTTGAACTCCACTCCGTTTCACTCCGTTTCGTTCAACTGTTTATAGATTACAGAAGGTTTATAGATTACAGATCGTACTGGATTTTTTTAAATTGGGTAAAATTTTCACGCCTTCACTTCGCTTCGCTCCGTTCAGGACGTAAAAATTTGTGAGCTTCGCTCAACCTAGTTTAGATTTATAGGTTACAGGTGTGTTGAACTCCACTCCGTTTCACTCCGTTTCGTTCAACTGTTTATAGATTACAGAAGGTTTATAGGTTACAGGTGTGTTGAAATCCACTCCGTTTCGTTCAACTGTTTATAGATTACAGTAGGTTTATAGGTTACAGGTGTGTTGAACTCCACTCCGTTTCGTTCAACTGTTTATAGATTACAGTAGGTTTATAGGTTACAGGTGTGTTGAACTCCACTCCGTTTCACTCCGTTTCGTTCAACTGTTTATAGATTACAGTAGGTTTATAGGTTACAGGTGTGTTGAACTCCACTCCGTTTCGTTCAACTGTTTATAGATTACAGAAGGTTTATAAGTTACAGGTGTGTTGAACTCCACTCCGTTTCGTTCAACTGTTTATAGATTACAGAAGGTTTATAGGTTACAGGTGTGTTGAACTCCACTCCGTTTCACTCCGTTTCGTTCAACTGTTTATAGATTACAGTAGGTTTATAGGTTAAAGGTGTGTTGAACTCCACTCCGTTTCACTCCGTTTCGTTCAACTGTATGTAGATTACAGTAGGTTTATAGGTTACAGGTGTGTTGAACTCCACTCCGTTTCACTCCGTTTCGTTCAACTGTTTATAGATTAAAGTTGGTTTATAGGTTACAGGTGTGTTGAACTCCACTCCGTTTCACTCCGTTTCGTTCAACTGTTTATAGATTACAGTAGGTTTATAGGTTACAGGTGTGTTGAACTCCACTCCGTTTCGTTCAACTGTTTATAGATTACAGTAGGTTTATAGGTTAAAGGTGTGTTGAACTCCACTCCGTTTCGTTCAACTGTATGTAGATTACAGTAGGTTTATAGGTTACAGGTGTGTTGAACTCCACTCCGTTTCACTCCGTTTCGTTCAACTGTTTATAGATTACAGTTGGTTTATAGGTTACAGGTGTGTTGAACTCCACTCCGTTTCACTCCGTTTCGTTCAACTGTTTATAGATTACAGTAGGTTTATAGGTTAAAGGTGTGTTGAACTCCACTCCGTTTCACTCCGTTTCGTTCAACTGTTTATAGATTACAGTTGGTTTATAGGTTACAGGTGTGTTGAACTCCACTCCGTTTCACTCCGTTTCGTTCAACTGTTAATAGATTACAGTAGGTTTATAGGTTACAGGTGTGTTGAACTCCACTCCGTTTCACTCCGTTTCGTTCAACTGTTTATAGATTACAGTAGGTTTATAGGTTACAGATCGTACTGGATTTCCAAATGTATCGACCAAGAATCCAAAATTAACCATGCTTACAACTCAGAACCAAGAGTATGTAAAATTTTAATTATTTTTGAAACTTGGAGCCAAGATCCAGTAAAGTTTGGATCATGGCTGAAACTTAAAACCAAGATCCAGTAAAGTTTTAAGCATGTCTGAAACTTAAAATCAAGATCCAGTAAAGTTTTAAGCATATCTGAAACTTAAAATCAAGATCCAGTAAAGTTTTAAGCATGTCTGAAACTTAAAATCAAGATCCAGTAAAGTTTTAAGCATGTCTGAAACTTAAAATCAAGATCCAGTAAAGTTATAAGCATGTCTGAAACTTAAAATCAAGATCCAGTAAAGTTTTAATCATGTCTGAAACTTAAAACCAAGATCCAGTCAAGTTTTAAGCATGTCTGAAACTTAAAATCAAGATCCAGTAAAGTTTAAAGCATGTCTGAAACTTAAAATCAAGATCCAGTAAAGTTTAAAGCATGTCTGAAACTTAAAACCAAGATCCAGTAAAGTTTAAAGCATGTCTGAAACTTAAAATCAAGATCCAGTAAAGTTTTAATCATGTCTGAAACTTAAAACCAAGATCCAGTAAAGTTTTAAGCATGTCTGAAACTTAAAATCAAGATCCAGTAAAGTTTTAACCATGTCTGAAACTTAAAACCAAGATCCAGTAAAGTTTTAATCATGTCTGAAACTTAAAACCAAGATCCAGTAAAATTTTAATCATATCTGAAACTTAAAACCAAGATCCAGTAAAGTTTTAATCATGTCTGAAACTTAAAACCAAGATCCAGTAAAGTTTTAAGCATGTTTGAAACTTAAAATCAAGATCCAGTAAAGTTTTAACCATGTCTGAAACTTAAAATCAAGATCCAGTAAAGTTTTAAGCATGTCTGAAACTTAAAACCAAGATCCTATCAAGTTTTAAGCATGTCTGAAACTTAAAATCAAGATCCAGTAAAGTTTTAAGCATGTCTGAAACTTAAAATCAAGATCCAGTAAAGTTATAAGCATGTCTGAAACTTAAAATCAAGATCCAGTAAAGTTTAAAGCATGTCTGAAACTTAAAATCAAGATCCAGTAAAGTTTTAAGCATGTTTGAAACTTAAAACCAAGATCCAGTAAAGTTTTAAGCATGTCTGAAACTTAAAACCAAGATCCAGTAAAGTTTAAAGCATGTCTGAAACTTAAAACCAAGATCCAGTAAAATTTTAATCATATTTGAAACTTAAAACCAAGATCCAGTAAAGTTTTAATCATGTCTGAAACTTAAAACCAAGATCCAGTAAAGTTTTAAGCATGTTTGAAACTTAAAATCAAGATCCAGTAAAGTTTTAACCATGTCTGAAACTTAAAATCAAGATCCAGTAAAGTTTTAAGCATGTCTGAAACTTAAAATCAAGATCCAGTAAAGTTATAAGCATGTCTGAAACTTAAAATCAAGATCCAGTAAAGTTTAAAGCATGTCTGAAACTTAAAATCAAGATCCAGTAAAGTTTTAAGCATGTTTGAAACTTAAAACCAAGATCCAGTAAAGTTTTAAGCATGTCTGAAACTTAAAACCAAGATCCAGTAAAGTTTAAAGCATGTCTGAAACTTAAAACCAAGATCCAGTAAAGTTTTAATCATGTCTGAAACTTAAAACCAAGATCCAGTAAAGTTTTAAGCATGTCTGAAACTTAAAATCAAGATCCAGTAAAGTTTTAACCATGTCTGAAACTTAAAACCAAGATCCAGTAAAGTTTTAAGCATGTCTGAAACTTAAAATCAAGATCCAGTAAAGTTTTAAGCATGTCTGAAACTTAAAATCAAGATCCAGTAAAGTTATAAGCATGTCTGAAACTTAAAATCAAGATCCAGTAAAGTTTTAAGCATGTCTGAAACTTAAAATCAAGATCTAGTAAAGTTTTAAGCATGTTTGAAACTTAAAACCAAGATCCAGTAAAGTTTTAATCATGTCTGAAACTTAAAACCAAGATCCAGTAAAGTTTTAATCTTGTCTGAAACTTAAAACCAAGATCCAGTAAAGTTTTAAGCATGTCTGAAACTTAAAACCAAGATCCAGTAAAGTTTAAAGCATGTCTGAAACTTAAAACCAAGATCCAGTAAAGTTTAAAGCATGTCTGAAACTTAAAACCAAGATCCAGTAAAGTTTAAAGCATGTCTGAAACTTAAAATCAAGATCCAGTAAAGTTTTAATCATGTCTGAAACTTAAAATCAAGATCCAGTAAAGTTTTAAGCATGTCTGAAACTTAAAATCAAGATCCAGTAAAGTTATAAGCATGTCTGAAACTTAAAATCAAGATCCAGTAAAGTTTAAAGCATGTCTGAAACTTAAAATCAAGATCCAGTAAAGTTTTAAGCATGTTTGAAACTTAAAACCAAGATCCAGTAAAGTTTTAAGCATGTCTGAAACTTAAAACCAAGATCCAGTAAAGTTTAAAGCATGTCTGAAACTTAAAACCAAGATCCAGTAAAGTTTTAATCATGTCTGAAACTTAAAACCAAGATCCAGTAAAGTTTTAAGCATGTCTGAAACTTAAAATCAAGATCCAGTAAAGTTTTAACCATGTCTGAAACTTAAAACCAAGATCCAGTAAAGTTTTAAGCATGTCTGAAACTTAAAATCAAGATCCAGTAAAGTTTTAAGCATGTCTGAAACTTAAAATCAAGATCCAGTAAAGTTATAAGCATGTCTGAAACTTAAAATCAAGATCCAGTAAAGTTTTAAGCATGTCTGAAACTTAAAATCAAGATCTAGTAAAGTTTTAAGCATGTTTGAAACTTAAAACCAAGATCCAGTAAAGT